ATAGGAGGGGGCTACAGATGGGACACAAAGTAAATAAACTCTAATTATTATAAAAATATTTTTGGAATCTGCTAAATATTGGTTCTTTTAACTAACATTCATGGAAATAAATATTGGCTCTTGTAACCAACATTCATGGGAATGCAGGACTGAACCTGGGACTGGCCCAGAGAAGGTTGAGGTCAGGGTGGGGTAGAAGATTATTGCTCACCAGTGTCTCCTCTACCTCCTGTCACAAAGTAGTCAGAACCAGCCACAGAATTTTCCAGCACAAATTGACAGGAATGTGTTCTGTCACTTTCACTGAAATTTCAGCTATACGAGCTGAGGACTCATGACCTTCTTTTCCAACTGATGTGGAATTAGAGGCACAGTAGAGGCCTTTTCAGCAGCCTAGTCCTGGTGGTAAACCCATGTGGAAAGGGACAACACAGCTGAGATATTAGACAAAAAAATAATGAGTTGCTGCCAAATCTACTGGGATATGGAGGTTATGACTTCTGTTTAACCCAGGCTGATATAACTGCTAAAACAAAGAATAAAGAAGAGTCCTCAGACTATAAAGATCAGGGAACAATGAGATAAAGAGCATAATACTGTCATTTATAAATTCATCATTCAACAAAAGCATGCCACAACATAGTTACATTTTTTTCAAGTTAATTTGGATATAATCTTTATTACTTTTTGATATCTGTTTCACATTTTAAGTGTCTACTTTACTTGGTATTGTTTTGTATATGAATTTAAGTGTAGGACTGTTCGGGACACCTATGAAGTCCAGAGAGCAACTTGTGGGAGTCAGTTATCTTCTTCTACTGTGATAGCTCTAGGTATCAAAATGAGACCCTCAGGTTTGAGCAGTAACCATTTTTACCTGAAGAGATATCTCAATGGCCCTACTTTTTGTTGTTGTTGTTTGGAGAATATAATATAATTATATTAATTGTCCTTTCCCTTCCTTCGAAATCCTCCCATAAAGTCCCTCTTGCTCTTTTTCAAGTTCATGGGCTTGTTTTACTTTAGGAATTTTTGCATGTGTGTGTGTGTATGAATATATATTTATATGTACATATGTGTATATATGTATTTGTCTTAGTGTTTTCTTGCTGTGAAGAGACACTACAACTATTACGACTTTTACAAAGGGAAACATTTAATTACGGTTTGTTTACAATTTCAGAAGTTTAGTCCATTGGTGTAATAGGTATAATAGGCAGTAATTGTGCTGGAAGCATTGAGAATTGTATAGCTGGGTCCCAGGCATCAGGAGGACATGGAGTCATTGAGTCTGGCCTGGACCCCGAAAACCTGAAAGCACAACCCCTAGTGACACATTTCCTCCAAGATAACAACACCTACTCCAACAATGCCATACCTCCTATTCCTTTCAAATAGTGCCACTCCCTAAGCATTAAAGTATATGAGTTAAGGGAGGCCATTATTCTCCACATTCTACTCCCTTGCATCCATAGGTTTGAAGCCATAACATAATGGAAACCTGCATTTAGTCAAACTTTAAAAGCCCCCATATTGTATCACAGTCTCAACACTGTCCAAAGTTCAAAGTCTCTTCTGAGACTCATGGTAAGCAAAACAACAACAACAACAACAATAATAATAATAATAATAATAATAAAGCATTTGTAACACTTCTAACATACAGTGGCACAGAATATAAATTGTCGTTCCAAAAGGGAGGAAAGACAGCGTAGTGGGAAATGTTATACTAAAGCAAGACCAAAAACCATCAGGCAAACTCTGATATCAAACTTTAATATTATGACTGACACTAAAGTGCTTTTCAGATATCCAATTCCTTTAAGTGTACTGCAACTTGCTTTTACCTCTTGGGTTAGTTCTACACCCAGTCGTCAGCTTTTTTTGGCAGATATCCCATGACTCTGGCATCTCGAATGAAATGCCTCAGACTCTAGGGGTCTCCATTAAAGTCCAGGCTTCAGCTTCACAGGTTCATACATGGCCTTCCTGGGACTCCATTCAGGGAAACCTTTGACAAACACTTAGTCTCAGTGGCTTTCCTCAGGTGAATTCCACAACCTCTTTCTTTTGTCTTTGACTCTAAATCCAGAATAATATAGACAAGCTGTGAAATTCTCCTACTTGGTGGGACTGGGGGTTGGTCCCCTCATTCAAACACATTTCACTACCTTTCTGTTATAGATGGTTTCCTTCACTGCCTAAACTTCCTTTATTTCATTTTCACATGTCAGAAGCTTAGATCAGAGGGGACTTTCTTTGAGGTTAGCACTCCCTTTATTCCATTTATCATCAGGCTCTTTTTTTTAACACTTTTTTAAAATATCCTTAATTACTGTATTTAACTCTTTTGCTCCTGGTGCTCCTTTTCTCCTAAAACTGCATATTTTGTATAATTAAGCTTCCCCCTTTTAATTTTAGAGCAGTATGAGAGTGAACACCATGCACAGTACTTGATTGGAGTATGAATCTCAGAAAAAAACCTTGTGCTCAGATTTTTTGGTTCTGTTGCTCTCCTTATAGTGTTCCTGTCCTCTCCAGATTTTATTATTTCCCACTTCTTTTATAAGATTCCATGCACTCTGCCCAACAGTTGGCCATAAGCATCTGCTTTGATAGTGTGCAGGGCAGAGCCTTTCAGAGGCCCTCCGTGGCAGGTTCCTAACTTGTTTTCTGTTTTCTTCTTCTTCCTCTTTGCCTTTCGGGTTGGGGATTGAGCATTTTAGTCAGAATCCTCCCCCTTGATTAGTTTCTTTAGATGTACAGATTTTAGTAGGTTTATCCTATGTTATATGTCTATATGAGTGAGTATATACCGTGTGCATCTTTCTGCTTCTGGGATAGCTCACTCAGGATGATCCTTTCCAGTTCCCACCATTTACCTGCAAATTTCATGATTTCCTTGTTTTTCATTGCTGAGTAATACTCCAACCAAATACCATGCATAGAGATAACCTAAAACTCATGCACAGATGTAGCTCAGGGCAGTTCAGTGTCTGAGTGGGTTCCATAATAATGGGAAGAGGGACTGCCTCTGACATAATCTGATTGACCTGCTCTTTGATCACCTCCCTCTGAGGTGGGAGCAGCCTTACCAGGCCACAGAAGATGACAGTGCAACCACTCCTGGTGAGATCTGATAGACTAAGATCAGAAGGAAGGAGAGGGGGACCTCCCCTATCAGTGGACTTGGAGAGGGGCATGCGTGAAGAAGGCAGAGGGAAGGTGGGATTAGGAAGGGAGGAGAGAGGGACTTATGGGGGGATACAAAGTGAATAGTGTAATTAATAAAAGTTAAAAAAGAGTGAACACTAATAATTAATCACACAACAGAGTAGTACAAGTCTGCCTTGAAATCTCATCTGCCAACATCATTAATCCCAAACTCTTCAATTTAGCCTCATACAGATTTTTTTGGACATGAGGAAAAAGTGGGCACATCATTGCCAAAGTGTCACAAGACAGTCTTTAGGCCACTCACTAATATTTTTTCCTCTGAAACTTCTTGAGCTGTGCTCAGTAGAAATTGCTCTCAGCAGTCTTCAGTGACCCATTTAGCCTCACTTAAAGCATTCAACTGCTACTATCATTTCTGCATTAGAAAACTATCTACACTTCTCTGTGCGAGAGTGGCTTTGGGTATATCTATCCTTGAACAGTTATTTGACAGCAGAAACCATGTTCACCAGCTTTCTTACCATGACATATTTCTCCACAGCCATCAAACTTCATTATGAGAGAAAAGGCAAGTGTTTTTATCATGGATTTCTGCATTTATAATAAAGTGGAAACAAATGGGATCTACAGACAGACACTAAAATGATTATCTATAATCTGTAACAAAAAGAGACCAGGTTACAACACAGAAACTAAGGATGCATACAGCCTCAGCCTTCCATTGTACACCAGCTCGTAGGGAAGGGTGTGGTACATGTATCAATAGCGCCTTAATTTGGAACATTCAGTGTGGTATGAAAATATGTAGTCCCTTTTAGATTCACACAGAAGTATCCACAATCCAAGATCACTGGAACATTAAGTATGTGCCTCATGACTTAAATGTACAGTCACTTTAAGCTGTTCTCCTTCTTAGTATTTTATATTTTTATGTTTATACTCAAACAGTTCTCTTCTGATTAAGACATCTCTGGAATTGAGGCTATGAACATTATCTTTTCCTCACACATGCTACTCTATATACAGAGTAAACCCATATATACTCTGGAAGGCAATGGTCTCACTAGCCCCTGTGTTCTAAATTCTATATTCTAGAAAGTAATTTATTACAATTCTGTCCCAGAATTGTTCAGGTCTACATCTTCAATAAACTTCAAGGACCAATGGCTTCAGATTTTAAATGTCAGTTTAGGGTACACTAGTTTCTTAGCTATGATTAAACTAGCCATTTCCAAGCGCTAACCCAAGGCCATTCAGAGGCCATTTTTTTTACTATTAAGACCATTAAAACAATAACTGGCATCAATAAGACTTACCTGCACAAGTAGAAGGAAGGTTACACAACCTTCAGGAGCCCAATCACATAGCCACACTTAAAAGAATGCAGAGCTTGGAATTTACAAGAATATAGGCTACAGGTAGTAGTGCACTTGTCCCTCTCCCCATTCACAGTAGATTTAGCTGTGTACTCACAGCTAGATAAAACACTCACACAGTTATAAGGTAGGGATTGTGCAGATGTCATTGAGTATATACATAAACTATTTCCTTCTCAAAAAATAGAAAATATGGCTTCCCAGGAATTTATAACAACTGGGTCTCTCTAAACAGGCACAAGACTACCACTGAATGCAATATCTGATGCATAACTGGTGATTGTCTTAAGGGTTTTGTCAAGTGAGAGGAAACAATTACCATTACATAGATAGATGGATTCTAGCATGAGTAAATGTAGTGGGCAAGAATTTAAACATATATGGGGTTAGAGAAAGAAGGAAACGCCCAAACAATAATAAGGACAACAACAAAGATCATTGCTTAACCTGTTTTGTCAGAGCTGGTGGTGATGGGATTGGTAGTGATGGAGGTGAAGGTAGTCTTTGCGCTGTCCTTGGCAGTGACAGATTTCTGTTTATTTTTCATGGCTTCCAGTGCTTTGAGCTTCTTGGCATGTTTCGTGCCTTTGTAATGGGCCGCAGCCTGGCTCTACAAAGGAGAACACAATGAACCATGCAATCAGGCTCATTTCTAAACTAGAATTCTATGTATTACCACAAATACAGACTCTCAATAACAGGTACGGTTCAAGCTAACACTGCTCAGGACTATCTAAAGAATGATGCTTAGAAAGTAATGGGAATCATATTCTAAGAGACAAAAGGAAGAAATATCCAGTTGCTTCTCTTAAGGATTTGAACATTAATAACCCAATGACATTTTCTTTTTAGAGTATGTGGGGACTGTGTGTAAGAATTTATACTAGCATTGTGTTTTTCCGACACTAGAGGTACTGGGTTCCAAATAAAAATTAACAAGGGCTCTAGCAAAGACTGATTCTCACCTTCTCTGTTCATAAAATATTTCTCTTCCTACAATGTAACTGATTAACACTCACTGTCCCCAAGAAGGACTCACACATAACTGAGGATATATGTACTCAGGAAGCTGAACTTGAAAACTCAAAAGCAAATAGGGCATAGAGAAGCAGAGAGATTTCCTAATTCTTTCTTTCCTTTTGCATCCTACCAGGGATTCCTTGGGGAAGGAAAGGTAATATTTCTCTCCAACATGATTTTCATGCTCAGGAAGCTCTGTGACTGTTAAATAGCTAATATGATAGATGCAGTTCTATCACTGGTGATTTCTGAGATTCTGTTTTAAAGGCAATCTGTATTTCCTGAAGCTACTATTTACTGTGGGGAGGAGGATGGTGGAATTTGTTGAAACACTATCACTACACAGCTCCGGCTAGTCTGAATGTTGACACTTTCCTGCTTCTTCTGATTCCCAGTCCTGGGACTTATAGGCCTGCATCACTTCCCATGGCTTATTTCATTAAGACTGTTTCTCAGAAGTTTTGGGTGACATATTAATGAAAGAGAAAGCCATTTGTTATGAAATATGTATTTATTTATGCTCAGTGAGACAGTGAAGCCTTTGAAGGTACATGGAGAGTACATGATATATGTATAGACAAGGAGAGTTTTAGAACACAAAGTTCTCCACGGCAAAACTTTTTAGGGTCACTTTAAAAAATCTCAATGAAGGACTATTTCTGGTGTGTAATTCATTATTTCCCAATTTATATTCAAGCTAAATTCCCACTTTACTAATAAAAATGACAATGAATTCATTATAGCAACTAGAGAAAGTAGGGGCATTCATTATACTATATTTTAATAAATAAATATTTACACCTTTATTTGCATCATTCTCATAAGATGTTCCCAAAGACTAGGCACATTAATTGAAGGAACAATGGTTTCGAAAATTATATATTAGAAACAGTTTGTACAGAAAGAAAATTCATGCACCAGGTGCATCCAACAGCATAGAACATCAGAAGGCATAGTGTGAGCCTAACAGGATGTTCAGGCTTGTCACAATTAACAGAAAAGTCAGTGACAGGTTGCCTTGCCTTGATCCTAAGGAAGGAAGCCACATATTTTGTTTGTTTTGTTTTTCTGCCTAGTTCTAATTTTCAATTCACCATGATGCACTGCAAGTGAACATAGTCAATTAAATTCACATGAGAGCTGGACATAATTTAATCAATATGCCACTATCTCTACATAAGTCTTCAAAACACGCCTATGCCTAAAACTTTGAGACAAGTTCACTCTGTAGGCCTCTGACCTCTTGGAATGCTCTTGCTTCATTCTTTTCTGTATTGAGTTAAAAGTGTATTGCAGCCCTCACACCCAGCTTCAAAATAAACTTGTTAGAAGATCCAAGAACAATCTACATTTTTCAGTAGATTAGATGAGAGTTTCTGTAACACTGCACACTCTAGGTGAATGATTCTACTTCTGAAATTAATATCCTTACTACAAAAGAATTCCTGCAGCAGAACAAGCGTATTCTCAGCACAGGAGCAGAAAAGCCTGATGCTCTGCAGTGGCTCAGGAAGGCTGGAGATGACAGAGCAACAGACTGCACAAAGATTGGTAGGTTCTTGATTGACATTTCTGATACATTGAGATTGAACACAAAACAAGTAAGGTACATAATCACACTCATGTTCACAAAGTGATGGCGTTGAAGGACCATGATAATCACTTTGTTACAGATTACCTAGGTTTTTCCAACTAGACAATTAAACTGGAAAAATGAGTCAAATGGTAGAAAGGTGTAAAGTGCTGTGAAGAGTCTAAGAGGTGTAGAATCTGAGAGAAATGGAGTACAATGGTGGAGAAAAGCAGAGAAGGTTAACTGATCGCTGTTTTGTATCATCAGGTATACACTGACAGTGGAGGGAAAAACACAGATTTAAATCTATTATAGATTAAATAGATTAAATCTGTTATAGATTAAATCTATTATAGATTAAATCTAGATATTTTTAATTTTATTTAACTCTAAGTTTTCATGGACTTTGGAAACTATCCTTGGGGCATTATGGTATAAAGTTTCTAGTCTGTGCTTACTCATCTTTGTCTGCCTTGATTCATGGGCATTAGAGTTTCTTTGAAGGCAGAAATCTAACCAACTTGACTTACATTTAGGCCATGTGACTGACTGCACAACCACATTTATCTATCTATGTCAGTATAAAGAAGGGTTAAGCCTGAACAGCAATGCTTCTAAGAGATTTTCAAAAGCACCATTTGGCAAAGATTTGCATTGGGCCTAGTATGTTTCTCTTTGGGACAGAGATGCAGAGCAGTTTTGCTATATAGGAGCTTACTCTGACCCCTATGAGGCTATTTTGGCCAATAATCAGTCAGTTTCTGAATTAAACTATTCCCAGAAACATGAGAATCCTGAAGAGACAAGTGAACGTCCTTTTTAAAGTATAAATGATGTCAGCGCTAAATAAACAAGTATGCTTACATTGAGATGCTTTCAGATTCTGTAATTCTGAAGCAGAATCATACACAGAGAAGCTAATAAAGCAGAACTATGCTAATACAGCTAAGTTTAAAGAAGTGACATAGATGTGAATCTTGAACTAATATATGGTATCATGGAGCTTAACAGGTGTCATCCCAGAGGCATGTGCTATGCATAGTGATACCCTTCTAAAGTTTGCCTCCACACCCTGCCTCTCAGTGCTATTACAGATTTCTTCATCTTCAGATTTTATCATGCATTATTTCAAGCTGTCTTTTCTGCCTGTGTAGACCTGAGGCTCCAAAGTGGATACAATTGTTTTGTTTTGTGTTTCAGGGTTTCTCTGTGTAGCCTTGTCTCTCCTGGACTTACTTTGTAGATCAGGCTAGCTTCAAATACACAGAGATATGCCTGCCTCTGCCTCTCCAAGTCCTGGGATTACATGCCACCATGCTCAGCTAAGGGCACAATTAATTTTTAAGTGGCTAACACTTAAGATGGGAGTTGTCTATTAAAATATCCACCAAAATGTACTGATATAAATAAAAAGCATCAACCTAAATCCCTAGCATTCTGGGAAATTTGACAATAACCTATCATTTTAAAATTCTATACCCAGTTCCTTATAAATTTATTTTGTGTATAATGTTTATTTAATGTGGCTCTCAAAAATAAAGAATTTTTTATGTAAGCTGTATACCTGGTATCCGTAAGCATTCATTGTTTAGGGAATCAAATGGAGCTGATTAGTTTTTTATATCATGAACTTCTACCCTGCCTAGCACTGGTAAGGCAATGGATTGAGTGCACATTTCTACTGACCATTCTAGCTTTCTGGAATCAGAAACTATGAGGAGAGAAGGCTGTTACACAGATAGTCAGATATTAGTAAGCTTAGTGGTTATGAGGATGACCCCTTTCTCATAATCAGTACCTTGCAAAATAAGGAACTGAAACAGGAGGCCTGGTGATTGCTCCAAAGAATGAGATCTGAGTCCAACTCTGGCCCTGGATGGGCATGTGACAATTTGAACTGTCCAGAAGATTACTGTCCATTCGAGACTTTCTGCCAAAGAACAAAGACATACTATTGTATTCTTCTTTAAGAGGTATTTCAAGGGGGACTGCTTATTATCTGAACAATAAAACACCGCTCAAAAAAGCTGTGCTAAGATGTAAGGCCTACCTAAACATGTGGATCATCACGGTGGTACTTTTGTCTACTTCTAGCTGTAAGATTGTTTTCTTCTGCATGACCTCCTACCATTTAGCATGCCTACTGTTATATCACACTGTTGTCCACCAGGCTACACAACTCTCTGTGTACATCTGCATTTATTTAGCAGTTTGGGATGGAAAACTGGCTGAGCAGATAAGAGAACTTGCTGCTCTTGCAGAGGACACAGGTTTGGTTCCCCTTACCCACACCAGGGTGCACAACTTCCTGTAACCCCAGTTCCACGGCCTGACATCTTCTGTTTTTTTATTCGCTTACACACATGTGGTATACATATAGACAGCACACACACACACACACACACACACACACACACGAATATTGGGAACAGAACAAAAGGGATGCCATAGTGAGGTCTTGTTAACAGGGACTAGGATTTGAGTGCAGTATAAGCCCTCGGGGAAAGTCTGATTCCTAATAACATTTTTGACCTATTCATGTTAAAATTTTTTCTCCAGGAATTTATTCTGGTGAAAATACCTGCTGGGGCTCAGCGACCAACAACTCAACAATGATACTTTGGCTTTTCCTCCTCCTTCTGCCCAAAGCACAAGGACAAGCTTGTTCTTAGTTTCTGGTATTTGACTAAATCATAACTTATAGTTAAGCACAAGAGTCACACAGCCCTTTCCCTTTTTCTAACCTCCCTCACTCACTCTTACCAGAGACTGAAAGTTAACAACAGCATGTCCTCCAGGAAGGTTTTTACCTATGATCTATTCTGAGGATTTAGGCTGATAAACTACTAAAGAAATAAGACAACCTTTTGTTTCCCCTGCATTTTATCTTTTTGCCATCCCATAACTCATTTTTACCTCCTAAAACCCAAACTCTGATTCATTTCTAGATTTTAGGAAGCTATCCAAACTGCAGCTACTGGTAGCCAAGAGACTTATAGTCTTACTACATATGCACA